AATGTGCAATACCCATTGTTAACAACACACTCTTTATCCACTTCAACTCCTTCAATGCCAAAACCATAGCTCGATACTCTGCTTCAGTTGAAGAGCATGATACAACATCTTGCTTCTTTAACTTCCATGACACAGGAGAATTTCCTAACTGTATCAACCATCCACTCAAAGATCTCCGTGTGATTGGACATCCAGCCCAATTTGAATCACACCAAGCTGTAAGATGAAAATTACAATCAGATTTCAATAAAATTCCTATTTGCAAGCATCCTTTCAAGTAACAAACAACTCTCAATGCAGCCATCCAATGATCTTCTCTTGGCTCATTCATAAATTGAGACAATATGTGCACGGAGTAGGCAATATCTGGTCTAGTTGCAGCTAGGTAAATCAACCTTCCAACCAGTCTTCGATATTTCTCAGGATCAGCAAGTATCTTTGTTGTCAAACTTCCCAACTGATGATTTGGCTCCATTGGAAACTCTACAGGTCTACCACCAAGCAAACCGACATCAACAATAATATCTAAACCATACTTTCTCTGTGATAAGTATATACCCTTTGTATTTCTCGCAACTTCCAATCCAAGAAAATATTTCAATTTTCCTAAATCCTTCATATGAAAGCAATTGCTTAAATATGTTTAAAATTTTTGTATCACCTCAGGAGAGCTTCCTGTCACCACAAGATCATCCACATACACTAGGACGTGCAAGTGAACTTTATCACTAACTAATGAGAAAAGATAGTAATCAGCCTTACTTTGTGCAAAACCATACCCCAAGAGTGCCTTCGAAAGTTTCGCGAACCAACATCGTGGAACTTGTTTCAAACCATACAACGACTTGCGCAAATGACATACCATACCCTTCTTAGAAGCACCAAAACCCTTAGGTACCCTCATAAACACCTCTTCATCCAAATCCCCATGAAGAAATGCATTGTGCACATCCATTTGATGTAGCTCCCAATTTTTCTCAGCGGCAACTTGAAGAACCAATCGAACTGTGCTCATCTTTGCTACAGGCGCAGATGTATCAGAATAATCAATCCCCTCTTTTTGAAGATTGCCACATGTCACAAGTCTCGGCTTATACCTTTCAATCGAGCCATCCGCATTTTACTTAATTGTGTAAACCCATTTACAGTCAATTACATGCTTATCTGGTGGTAACTGTTCAATCAGCCATGTTTGATTTCGTTCCTGAGCCTCAATCTCCAGTCTCATAGCTTCTCTCCATCGTGGATCGTTCATAGCCTCAGAAAAAAATTTCGGCACAACTCCTTCAGTTATACTACACAAAAATGCCTTGTGTGACACAGAGAACCTTTCACAATTCACATAAATTCTCATACCATAATCATTACTCATCTCCTGACTTTCAGTGGATGTATTCATTGTAAATGTCGTATTGCACACATAATTGCGTAACTTGACAGAAGATTCTTTCTTTCTCATCCCTCGTCCCAAAGTTTCTGTTGATCCAGGCTGTTGCACAGTTTCAGCCTGTGTCATTGATGCAGGTTCTGTCACTAAAGCAGACTGCACATTCTCATACTGTGTAACCGATGCAGGTTCTGTCACTAAAGCAGGTTTCACATTCTCAGACTGTGTAACCGATGCAGGTTCAGTATGTGGCACTGTAATTCCTAAGATATCGCGTATTTTGTTTCCTATAGTGTGTCTTTCTTCTTCTGCAATCTTGTCTGACACACAACCAGAGTCTGTGTCATTGTATCTCTTGTGAGAGGTTGTATAATTTCCCTTGTCAAGGCAGGTACTATATCGTCAAATCCACCATTATCATCCACATATAACCTCGTTTGATCACAATTAGAAGGCTCATCCAGCTGTGCATTTTTTAGCTCCAAATATGGAAACGGTCCTCAATAAAATTGACATCCCAAGAAACACAGATCTCATGGGTGTCCAAGTCAGATAAGTTCCATCCCTTCTTTGCATAAGGGTATCCCAAAAATATGCATTTTCTGTTTCTACTCGCAAATTTATCTCCATGACGTTTCTGATTGTGAGCATACGCTAAACATCCAAAAACTCGTATCTCACTATAATCAAGAGTTTTTCCAAATATGATTTCATAAGGACTCTTACCATTGTGTAACACAGAAGGCATACGATTGATTAGATACGCAGCACATAAAGCACAAATAACTCCAAAGTTCTATTGGTAAATTTGCCTGAAATCTCAACGCTCGTGCGACATTCAGTATATGTTGATGTTTTCGCTCCACTCTACCATTTTGTTGAGGCGTTCCCACACACAAAGTTTGATGAATTATCCCTGATGTACGAAAACACTCATTCATACCCATGAATTCACTACCATTATCACTTTGCATGTTTTTTACATGTTTCTCAACTGACGTTGAATGAGAGCAAAGAAAACTATCATTGTTTTCTGAACTTGTGTTTTATCAGCAAGAAGAAAAACCCACACAGCTGTAGAATAATCGTCCACAACAGTTAAAAAATAAGAGGATCTACACACGCTCTGTGTTTGTTATGGCCCCCACAAATCACAGTGAATCATTTCAAAACATTCTTTGCTTTTCTCTATACTCACAGGAAATTCATTCCGACACTACTTTGCTCAGAAACAGACATCACAATCAGAAACACCAACACTCTTTTGATCCACTTCTGGCAATCTTCTAAATCTTTTCAAAAGCATGTCACATCCTTTTGTGCCAAAGTTCCAAAGACCCCAACTTATTGACCTTCGCCACATTCACGATCTTCTGAATAATTTGAAGAAAATACAATCTATCTTTTCTTTCACCCACTGCAATCAGAATTTGCAAAGCAGGATCCAGTACCCAACACATTTGCTTGGAGAAAAACACAATGAAATTCATTGCATCAATAATCTATGACATGGAGATGAGATTGCACTTGAGTTCCTTGACAAAAAACACATGTGTCAAAGTTAACTTCTTCGTTAATGCCACACTTCCTTCTCTATCAGCAACCACAACATTTCCATTAGGCAGACCAACTAAACATGGTGAGACTTTATGCACATCAAACATACCACTTAACGTACCCGTCATATGGTACGACGCACCACTATCAATAATCCACTCATCTGTATAGTTGTTATCACTCACACGATTTGCCATCTCTAATCTCGAATCAAGCCATCGAACAAGCTTATGCCATTGATTTTTCTTGAGCCCTGTCACAGCTTGTGGATCAACCTATGACGCCTCAGTGTGTGACACACGTTTTGTAGGTTTTCCATACTCTTCCAGCCACCAATCTAGATATCCATATACATGATCTCACATTATGACCATATTTCAAAAAACGAGAACACATAATTCCTCGACTCTGAAATTTCATATTTTCTAAAAAAAACAGAGAAATTTCCAAAGTTTCTCCACCGAATAAAGAAATCTCAAGCTTCTATGGCTTTGTAGAAATCCCGAACTTCGTTGGTCCGAGTTCACCACCAAAAACAGAAGAGCAAAACCTCGTGGGTTTGCTTTTCAATACAGCACAACTTATAACAAGAATTTGAATCAAGAGGTAGACCAAAATTTTATGTAGCCTTAAACTATGATTCAAGAGTTAAACCAAAACTTTATGTAGTCTTAGGCTCGGAAGTGATTTTATTCATCAGCTTAAAAGTAGATATATATACATGTATAATAATTAGCTTTGACTTTAGAACTAGCAATATGGGACAAAATAACTATTCTAATAACTTAACTATACAAGGCGTAATAATCTCATTACTATCTCTTAATATAGTTAAGTTATTAAGAAATAGTAATGGACTTATTAGGCCTTATATAATTAAGTTATTAGAATAGTATTTTTGTCCTAGGACAAGATAAATCCACAAACGATGCTAATTTTGAATACTGTCAAGCATTTCAGACACGGGCTCTAGTATCAAACTCCCTTGGCACCGCGAGTGTTTCCCATACATTTTTTTCACATGTATGAATTTTCTTTTTTTTTTTCATACAAAATTCTTTTTTAATTGTTTTACAAAAAGTTTCTTCCTTTACACTTTGTAGTGAGCTTCGATAGGAACTTCTCATAAATCAATAATGCGTTGATCTAGTTGCCACCTATGACACAAAATGCTATCCAAAGAGGACACCTATTGATAGAATGGCCGTGCCTTATCTAGTCCCATGTATTATATGGTTTATTTAGAAAGCAAAAAAACATGAGAAACTCTTTTAAAGAATTTCTAGAACTATATATATATTATGTAAAAAGATCCCATGCATGGCATAATGCAATGATAATGTGATGAGAGATTTAGAATAGGAAGAAGTTTTATTGACTCTTATATTTTATTCAATGTCCATAGGACACACACATATAAATATATATATATATATATATAAAGATAAAGAGAATAGCTAGAATAATTGTACAAGATAATGAGAATAGAGAGAATAATTATACAAGATAAAGAGAATAGCTAGAATAATTACACAATATTGAATTAGTAATGACAAACTAATTACAGGGAGTGAATCAAGGACATGATAAAGGGGATTGGATTTCAAAGTAATTAATATAATTGTTCTGTCCTTAACATGAAAAGCATGGTACAAGGCAAATGAGCAGCCATATAAATTACATCAGGGCCAAAGATTGGTGATTCCATTGGATATCGAAACGGCTAACATTTGTCTTGTGTGATGGTTTATGGAATACATGAGCCGCGTTAAGTTGCTTTGGATAGGCTTTTGCCAGTTCACTATGTGTTTAAAGCTTTGTTTTGGAATGGATTGCAGGGAATTCTGGAAGATGATTAATGAAACCAATGAGTGGTCAACATTTTCCAGGGAATCAACTTAATTGAATAAAAAAAGTACAAATTCAATTATGTATGTTCTCTTTTGCTTTGATTTTTTTTCTTATGTACCGAGACGAGACGACCTTATGGGTCGCCTATCTAGAACCCGATGGAGACTCGTGTGGTTTGCCACACTAGCTCCTTTTGAGTAAGTCGTTTGATGTTAAAAGAAAAATTATAAGCGAGACGATTTTCACTTAACAAAGAAACCAAACCATGAAGCAATATATAATACACGCTAGGAACATCTATTATATAACCAGAGACCAGAGTAATAGATTTATTGAACTATTATAATCTGTCACTTGCTCACCTTCTCGGGAACAAGCTTGAGATGAACCGCCTTGTGCATAGCAAGACCAGTCATGACATCCATGTTGATGTCTTCTGGTTTCATTCCATTAGGAAGTTTGAAGTCGAAGTTGAGCAAAAGGTTCGCGTATGGAACCTCAATCATCACCGCACCAAGACGCATTCCAGGGCACATTCTCCGGCCTGACCCAAACGGTATAAACTCATAGTCCGTGCCTTTGAAGTCAACGTCCTTCTCAAGAAACCTCTCGGGCCTGAACTCGTCAGGGTTCGGGCCCCACTCCTTCTCATCACGAGACACAGCCCACGCATTTACATTGACTGTGGTCCCCGCGGGGACATCGTAACCAGCAATCTTGGTATCTTGAATGCAACAACGAGGGATAAGGAGAGGAATCACTGGTTCAATCCTTAATGTTTCTTTAACTAAGGCTCTGAAGTAAGGAAGGTTCTTGATGTCGTCTTCAGTAATGAACGTTAAACCTTTCTCTCTTGCATAATCTCTCACTTCTGCTTGAGCTTTCTTCCTCACTTCAGGGTACTTCATTAGATACGTCATCCCCCACACAACCGCTGCAGCCGCCGTGTCAGTTCCGGCAACCACTATATTCTTTTGAAACACAAAACAAAAAGAAGAGTGAAACGCAAGCAAATAATTCCTTGTAAAACAAGCAACGATTCAAAACATATATAATAGAAAAAAACGGAGAAATGTACGTACCAAAATCACTCCTTTGACATTCCCTATAGTGAACTTGGAGGCGAATGGTTGCTCTTTGTAGACCTCCATCAAGAGATCTATCATGCTCTCAGTTTCTGGCTTGACCCTGTTGGGATCTAACGTCTCATCGATAATCTCTTGAATGTAAGTGTCTTGTCTTTCAAAACAGTCCATCATATATTTCGTGAGGCCTGTCCAATTATCGAGAAATCCACTAAACGGGAAAAAGTCAGAGAAAAAAATCTTCCCCAAAACGCTCTGAGTCCCATAAAGAATCTTGATGAATCTCTTCATCTCTTCCCCATCTTCATTGTACTTCTTCCCAAACGCTTGCCTACACACAACCGTGTTCGTGAAGGTCAACATAAGCTCGCTTATATCGACCGGTTCAGATCTCTCCGCAGCCTTTTCGATCTTAGCCATCATATGCTTAGCCTCCTCCTCCCGCACGTGCTTAAAGGTGGCCACACGAGTGGGTGAGAACAAGTGGTTCATGCCCATCTTCCTCATCTCCCGGTACAACGGTGTGTAGTGGTTCATAGCCATGTCACTTCTTCCGTAGGTCATGAGCACGTGACCACGGTGCGGAGGCCGGTTAGCAAAGTTGACATCTTGCGTCTTGAGAAGCTCTTTGGTTAGCTCAGCCGAAGATACCACCATCATTATTCTGTTTCCTATCTTATATGACAAGATCGGACCGTAATTTTTGGCCCATCCATGGAAGAAACGTTGTGGGTTAGTCTGCTGAAGCTGGTGGAGGTTTCCGATCAGGGGAAGCGCCTTTGGACCGGGAGGCAGCTTGTACCGTTTGGTGTTCGTTTTTTGAGAAAGGAAGAAGAGAAGAACCGCGACGAGTGCCACAACGCCGATGATAATATCTTCCATTTTTGGTTGTCACTAACTACTTTTGAGTGGTACTTAAACAGCACAACAGCTCCTTAATATATAGAAAATTATTGATTGCGGTTTTTTTTCTTCTTAACGAAACCAAACCAAATAGACTAAACCGAACTAAACCAAGATCAAATTTTATAATTGCGTACTTTCCTTTATACCTACTTAGGAAACCTCACGTGTTTGAACTGAAAAACATTTTCACCTACCCAACGTTCCTCCCCTACGTTGTAAGCTTTATGAATATTTGGTTCCATGCAGTCGCATTCGTTTTTGTCCAGATCTATTTGCAGTTTACACAAATCTTTATTTAGCTTTGTTAATTGAGTGGTCTAAACCAACCCTGGACCTATATATATGGACTTTTGCAATCTGATTTTATACAGAAAATCTAACATATTCGTACATATATTTCCGAAATTGTGAAATCCTAAAATAAAATAAAAGTTACCGAAAGTACTATGAAAAAGTCAAAATGTTGAAATAAATAGCCATATTGTATGGTTAACTAAACAAATAGCCAATATTTTAATTTATCGCAAACTTGCATTATTGTGATTGTCAACTCAAAGAGTATTTACCAAAACTTTTCTTCGTATGTAAAATTACCTAAATAGCCAATATATAATGGACTGATGTTTTGAAAGATAGCTTGGTGCACAGGCACAGCCGTCCAATGTCAGTATTTCTATGTGAGATAAAAAGCATGTTTAATCAGCTAATTGTAAGATGGAGAGCACATACAAAACAGTTAAACGGATTCTGCAAATACTCTATTTGCTTTATTAGAAATCACTTAAACACATTCTTACAAGTTGTTTAAACAGAATTACACAATATCATAACTTGACTTGCCACAGAACCTTGAACATTCTTGTGCTTCTGTTCCCAATTTGTACGGCTAACCCTAAAGCTTAGATGTTACAAGCTTTATATACTGTTCAACTTTTCAAGTTGAGAATCTTCATTTTCCACTACGTGATATCTCTAAATCTCCTTTTTCTTAGATTTTAGATCCTTCAATACAATTTTGCTGACTCCTTTAGCTCTACTTACATGATGCCACATCAGCTACTCTTCACACTGCATCGTTTCTGGGTTAAGCCCATCTTGTGTTGCACAGATGATTCCGTTGTGCAACCACCTCATTCATTGGTGCTAACACTAATGTCTGTGTCGGTCAAAGATGTGGTTTATATGTGTAAATAAGAACTCATAGATGGGTGTTTGGATAGATAGCTTGGCGGCCATTCGATCTGTATACTCTTGCTGATTAATGATATTGTGAATGAGTTTGTGTAAGAAGCATTTTTGACCATAGGCGTAGACTACGGGTGTGGATAATATATGATGGATGGATGTTTGGATACATATGGAAAATCGTTCTATATGGTCTTGATGATTAATGATACTGAGAATCAGTATGTTTATGTGGCATAAGAAGCATGTTTGATCAAGTAATGGCATACAAATGTAGTAAAACATCACAAGAAAGATCATAAGTAAAGCCTATAGAAACATAACATCCTAAGATATATACATAATTATACAACCAAAAGTGTGAGTCAATTTAAAGCTAAGGAGAGACAGATGGGAAAAGGAACTACTAATTCCTTGTATATGACCATGGCATATTGTTTCCTAAATGTATCTACAATATCGTCGTTTATTCCTGCCATACCATGTTTAGGGTCTCCATTAGCATGCATCTCTAGAAACTTGGCCGAAACAGGCCTGCAATCGCCAATGTGAAGGTTTTGTATAGCCCAGAGACGCGGATCCAGCTAAAAGTGTTTAGTCCGTAAGATTATGTTAATTGTTGTTGGTACATTTTCTAGAAAATATGAGGGACCATCTTCACCTACCCAACGTCCCTCCCCAACAATGTATGGTTTATAATTTCACCCCCAACAACGTATAGTTAATAATTTCATGCACTCGCACTCATTTTTGTACAGATCTATTTTGTTGTTTACACAAATCTTTATTTAACTTCATTCATTGAGTGGTCTAAACCAACCATGGACCTAACATAGTACTATACATTCTGACTTTATACAGAAAATCTAAAACATTTTCGTACATACGATGTAGGTGGAATTCTGAAATCATATAATAAAAACAATTTGCCGAAAATACTATGAAATAGTCATGACTTTTGGCTTCGTTCGTTGAGTGGTCTAAACCAACTCTAGACCTATATGTATGGACTATATATATACTCTGATTTTATAGAGAAAATCTAACATATTTGTACATATATAGCCGGGATTTTGATAAAATAAAATAAAATTTACCGAAAGTACTAAAAACAAGCCAAAATTTTATGATTAACAAAACAAATAGCCATAATTTTAAGCTATCGAAAACTTGTGATTGTCAGTAAATTCAAAACTTCTGGTTTTTGAACTGAATGTAAAATTGTATTCGACCAAAAACGTTTGTAAAAAAAATACTGTCTGATGAGTTTTTGAAAGAACTGAACTGAAAATCTACTTAAAAAGTTATAGACTTATAGTGCTAAAACAAAGAATAATACTGTCCTTTAGGAAAAATAAATAAATAATAATAATACTCTCCTCAAAACTTTTTATCTCCTTGTGCTCGAAAAAAGTTTAGCTCACTAGTCGCGCTGGTGGCGATGGCTTCTCTCCATGTCTTCTTAATTACATTATTTCTTTCCCTTCATAAGCTATGCACAACCGCTTGGAAAACATACCTCAGTCATAATGAAGAGGAGAATGTAGTCATGTGTCATGTGTGGTATGCGATAAGAATGCAATGATGTTGTTCCAATCTTTTGAGTAATTTGATTTCATGAGACCTCGGGTGAGGAGGCTCCAAACTTCTCTTGAATTAAGCACACATGAAAAAGAGATGATTTCTAGTCTCCATAGGATCTTCGCAGAAAATACATTGGATGCTTTGAGTTGAGTTCTATTTTTGTATTTGGTCCATGGTTGCTAGGCGATCATGCATTGCTATCCACATGAGAAAATATTATTTTGGTGTTGTGTTAGGGAACCAAACACTCTTTGTCCATGGTAGAGCTGGTTGAGCTTGACGAATCTGAAACCAAGTATAAGTATGGAATTTTTTCTTGAATTTGTTGTTTTTGTTTCTCTACTTTAGAGTGATTGTAATGACTAATGAGAAACAAATTGCGGAATGTAATGGGAGATTTTTAAGTTTAATGTCAATTAAGATTATAAATATCTTATTAAACCCGGTATTATTTGAAAGAAAAAGTTAAACTATTGAATCATCTGAAATGAATTTCTAAGGAAAGTTTATGAATAAAACAAAATCGATGATATAGACTTGTGCCTTTTTAAAAGTGAAATCAAAATTTGAAATTATAAAATACAATAAAAAGTTAACTTTAATCTATGATTGATGTTCCGCAAAAAATAAATTTTAATCACAAAGTTGGCCCAAAAATTTTAGTTCCACACATCGACTAAAAAAAGAAATGATGTGACTATGACTTTTTCAGAAAATGCGATAATTATTTATAAACAACAACATCGAAGCCTCAACTAGTCCCATAAATTTTGGAAACGCAAGTTTTTTTTTTATCAAATTTAAACGCAAGTTATGTGGATACTATCGGTCCAGGTCCACAATTTAAAAAGCTGATCATGATACCAAAAGCCCTACCAAGTTTTACTAAAAATATAAGTTACAATCATTTTGTTTCTCAAAATCATTAATTGAGAACCAAAAATGTAACGAGTTTGAGTTGACAAGACCATGTTTGTTAATAGAATCAAATTCTTCAAATGGAAAAAAAAAAAAAACTCAGAAACGTGTTTCTCCTCAAAGAGAAATAAAGAAATGGAGAATAATAATAAAGATTTGACTTGCTTTTTTACCGGATTGTGCCATTGCTGATTGATGAAACCTTGCATACACCTGCATCTGTAGTAAAGGGCAAATCTTTGTAGCAAGCCACTAAGTTCTCATCTGTGTGCAGATCCACCACAAGTGTCTCCCAAATCTTCTTCTTCGGGTTCAAAACATCGTCTGGCTCACCTTCAAACCCGGGAAATCTAACTCGCTCTCCGATCTTAGAAGATTTAGGGGGCTCAACCAACTCCACCTGAGAGTTTCCAGAAGAAAAAAAAATGTATAAACGAAATGAAAATATCGGAGCTATGAACAGGTCAGAGACTCTTTCTTGTGCACTTTACCTTGCTGCCATCACTACTCGTAGCGGCAAGAACCATTGCTTGTGACATAATATCCCTCATTTTCGCCGGCTTCAAGTTGCAAAGAACACAAACCATGCGGTTCTGTCCAGAAAGAAACAGTTTCAGATCGAAAGAAAGATTCAACTGATATTGGGAAAAATTAAGTTTGATTGGGGAGATTGAAACAAACCTGCATTTCCTCAAGAGGTATATATTTCACCAATCCACTAACAACGGTGCGAATTTCTCCACCAACATCAATTTCTTCCACATACAATGCATCTGCGTTAGGATGTTTCTCAGCCTTTAGAATTTTACCGACTCGGATATCAAGTCTTGCCATAGTAATCTCGCGATCAGCAGCCGGTTGAGGTTGGGATTTTCCTGCACCTTTTGATGCCTTTTGCTTTTTAGCATCTGGGAGAAAAAAACAGCAGTAGAGTAAATAATTAAGTTACTGAGCCACATATTACTACGATGAGCTCGGTATCTTTACGAATATGCCTATCAGCATTTTGAAAATAAGAATATAGAACCTGAAAGTTTTGTTTTCTTAAGTTGCTCCGCCATATTTGCTGCTTCTGCATCCCTAGCACGTCTATCAGCTTGACTTCCAGCGAACTTTTCTCTGTACTGTTGCACTTCTTCATCTTTCTGTGATCATATCATTTCACAAGATGTAACTCAAATGCCATATGGCATTATAATATACAACAAACCCGGTTTTATATGGATAAGACCAGAGAGCTACGTACCAATTCCTTGAACAATGGTTGAGGGGTGCCTATCTTGTGACCGGGAGGCAGAATCTCCCAAGGTTTACTTGCTAGTGATACCTTCTCGGCAGAGAGGGAAAAATGTGGAGGCAAATTAAGCTGTTTAAATACCTACAAAATGCAAGAAACTCCACAAATAACTCTTGGCATTCTACTAAAACTAAATAAAATCACTGTTTCCGAAACAATCAATCAAACCGACCTCACGAGAGAATGATGGCATGAAAGGTTCTAACAGCTGTGCAAGAAGGTGTACTAAACCAGCAGCAGTTCTTAAAACAATATCACAAGAAGGTTTATCTTCCTTGTAAAGTTTCCAAAATTGGTTTCCCTACATCAGAAAGAAACAGCATAGTTGGTTAGACTGAACAGCTAATTAAGCTAATATACAAGAATAGAATTACCTGCAAATATGCGTTCCCTTCACTCGAAATGCTCATAGCAATTTTCAGCCCCTGCTTGAGCTTAACCTGCATAAAATGAACAAGACCTTTTATTTAGAACATAACCAACCAGGCACTGAAACTAAGATGGCCATACCAGACCAAAGTCCATATAATGTTCCTCACCTTTTCCATGGCTTCAATATACTGATTCACGAAGTTCCCCACCTTTTCGGCCAGTACTTTCGTTAGATGATGAGATTCAGCACCAGGAGCATCAGGAATGACAGATCCATAACCTTCACATCAGTTAGTACATAATGAAGTAAGGCAGGAGAAACATCAGAGATAGAGATATGGAAGTCTTTGGCCCAGTATTATCAAGTGCATAACTAAGAAGGTAGCCAGAATTCAGGCAACTTTTTCCCATCCGAGTGTTCTTACTGTTTTATAGGAGAATTTCATATACTAAGCCTATTCAGTAACCTCATGCTAAAATAATTTTTTTTGGAAACGTCAAATAATTCACTTCTTCCAAAGTACGTAAATCTTAAGATATGTTCTGTGACCAGTTGATCGTCCCAGGTCACTACTTCACAATGAGATTTCTATCATCTCAACAGAATTATAGTGTCAGATTCTTGCAAGCTAGATGCATCTTTATAGTATTCTAAACTACAAATTTTTTTTCAAACAAACTGTAAACAGAAATCACATAATCACACGCTAATATTTGACAACGGATTGGTGTCCCACGGCTCACATATATCTGACTAGCACACCAACTGGCTGGCTTCAATACAAGAATACAGCACATCCCATATTTTATATTGGATATGTCAATCTGAAAAGTAATCTACAGCTACCACCCATAAGGAAGCCCAATAAATTCGGAAAGAAAAAACCAACCTGCAGGCTCAGGCTTTGCTATAAAACTCAGAACTCGGTTAACAAAGTTGCCAAGGTTGTTCAGTAACTCGCCAGTCAGTTTTGCTTGCAAATCGTCCCATGTAAATAATGTGTCAGACACCTGGATGGCCAATCCCCAGAAGCAATTTAGTGTTGGTGAATTTTACACACGTATGCATGCCCATGATTAATGAAGAACAAAAAAAAGTGTTTCCATTTTGTAGTAGCCATCAGTTACCTCAGGCCTGTTGGTCAGCAAGTAGTATCTCCATACTTCGACAGGGATATTTGTATCTTTTACATCATTACCAAAGACTCCAACACCTTTACTCTTGGAAAACTTTCCTGAACCCATACAAAAAACATGTCCTCGTTTTCAATGAATGGCAGAAAAAGTAAAGCACAATTAATTTAAAATAAATTCACTTAGCCTCCATGGCGAAAAATCAACTGACCGGCTTCGTAATTTAAATATTCAGTCACACTGATTGTCTTCATCATTGTCCAATTTTCCCCAGTTCCAAGCTGCGTAGATGGAAACATCACCTGCATACAACCAGTTGGCAGTTGAAACAGTCAGATTTACAAATATAAACCTTTCTCGGAGGGTACCTTGAGGATAGCTTCAGAAAAGACAAGAACCAAGCAAGAAAATATAAATCACATCCAATAAAACGGTCAGACATCAAAGACGTGATCACCAGAACACCTAATTTTATATGCATTACCGGATAACAATGATCACAAAACTTAACCCTGGGACTAGCACAATCTTTTATCCCAAAAACACAGCAGTTACACAACATGTGGTCTGTCTCACCAGCGAAGGGAGAATAGAAAATGGATAAGATGAATGCAAGGCTATTGGAAATATGACAATAGTCAGATCAGGTGTCTAAGATTATGCCATGAAATCCTTACGGGCATATATATGCCACATATAACGTTTATAACAACTAGCAATAATGACAGAAAAAAAAAAGAGCAAAAATATCAGAAGTATGTGTCTTCCAAGTTATCCAAAAGACAACAAGACATGGTCACTGGAAATTTAGGACCAGGCATGTATTTTTCCCCACTTTTATATCAGAAAGAAAGATGAAGAAAAGAAAGAGAAATAACTAAAACCATTTTAATAACTCATTGGCGCTAGATAAATTTCTGAAATGTTATATACTCACAGTGTGAAAGGGCACATTGTCTTTCCCCATAAACTGATAAAGCTCCACATTCTCAGGATTCTTCCACCACTTCTCCCATTCAGATGTGTAGCATGATGTTATTGAGACGTATCCAATAGGAGCATCAAACCAGACGTAGAAGACCTATAACCATAATTCGAATTAGTAGGTGTACTTTAATATGTTTAAAAAGATTGGCTAGCAGTGATGTTCTTACTTTTTCGTTATATTTCTCATGTGGAACAGGAACTCCCCACTTTAGATCCCTTGTAATGCATCTCTGTTTAAGGCCTTCCTTAAGCCATGCTTTTGTCGTTTGAATAGCATTTTGACTCCAAGATCCAGCAACAGATGTCTCGTTTATATACTCTTCCAACTTATCTTCCAGCAATGGAAGCTCAATAAACAAGTGGTCTGTGTCGCGAATTCGGGGTGTGGTTCGGCAGACCTATTAGAGAGAGAAAACATAAGTATTCACAATAATTATAATAACAGACCATAGTCCTGCCCCTCTATAAGAAATCAGAAAAAATAGTGAATATATCTATCTTGCAGAGATATGTGAGTCAGGCAAATAAGATATGAATGAATAGAAACGAAGCATGCACAGGACAATCAAAATCAGCTAGCCATTACCATTAATATATATAATAAACATATGGAACAAATATGTACAGTCACAATGAATGAAAAATTCTTGCATGATAACTGTCTTGTTAACTAGTTCAGCTGCGCCACGTCTTTCAACATAAAAGTTTGTATCAATAGAAAATGAATCACAAGCATTGATCACCTTGCACCTCGGATCTTTGAGTTCAGTAGGATTCAAGAGCTTTCCACATTTTTCGCACTGATCTCCGCGAGCAGAATCATAATTGCATGCTTCATGTGGACAAGATCCCTCAACAAGCCTGTCAGCTAAGAACTTCTGGCATGTATCGCAGTAAAGCTGAAGAAAAAATGGGCCACAAAGACGTGAGAGTTAATACCCCACTAACTGAGTGGTGTAGTTCTTTCTACTTGAGAAGAACATATGGATGCTCTTGCGATAGATTAAGGCTAACTGGCATTTGAGGAAATTTCTTCACCTGCTGCATGGTGTTCTCTGAAAGAAAGTTGTTTTCAAACAGCTTCTTGAAAATTGCTTGGCTCACTTCTGTCTGTTCTGGGGTTGAAGTTCGCCCAAACTTGTCAAAACTTATTTCAAACCAGTCATAAACTTCTTTATGAATGGCATGGTACCTAAAAGCACAAACAAACAAAAAAAATACATGGTAGCATCAGAAATGACTCTGAAACATGGATGCTACAGTGCAAAGATCGCTAAAAGACTCTCTCCAAAACCATTTCTGAAATATGTTAAAACTTTTGTATATTTCTCTCGCGTAAGTTGAACAACGATATACAATTAAGAGTCAAATTTTTCATCTTGAGACAAATCTCATAAACCTACACATCGCAAATCCACTGAGAACAAACTACTTCAAGAAACAACTAAATCCCATAAACCATCAGCACAGATAAATTCTATGTAATTTTAGTAAGAAAAATGGAAACACAACCTACGCAACAACAAAAGAACACCAACAAAGACTAAGAAATCAAGATACATTACTTGTCACAGATTTCCTTCGGGGTGCAATTCTCCTCCAGAGCTTTGGTCTCAGTTGCAGTCCCATATTCATCAGTCCCACATATATATATCACGTTATAGCCAAGGAGACGACAGAATCTAGCAAACACATCAGCACTCAGAACACCTGTAAGACGAAGAAAACACACAAAAACATTGCTTAAACCCAGCAAGAAACCTGAAAACATCCATCATCACAAGCAGAACAAATAAAACCAAATTTGAGTCACTAGCTGTCCTTATCATTCGTGTGTCAATCAATGCAAAATCAGATTCTCATGAAGTTCAACGCTGAAACTGATTTTTACATCTGAACAATAACAGTGACTTCATCTAGAGTCTCTAGAACGAAATTCAAAAGAGAAACACATGCAATCAGAGAAGAAGACGACTTAAACGCATACGAATAATGATACGAAAGTAAAGAGGTTAGGATTTCAATTACATCCGATGATGTTTCCGAGATGAGGGACGTTGTTGACGTAAGGCAAAGCACTGGTGATTAGTATATTTCTCATGCCAGGAATTGGCAGCCTGGGGGCGTTCCCGTCTCCGTCTTCCATGGCGGAACAACAAGACCACAAGACAATTAGGGTTTTCTCGAAGAATCAGTGAGAGGAAAGACGAATCAGAGAGGCTTCCGGCTAAAAAAGAGAGTGAAGCTATCAAACCTAAAAAAGTAACGCATTTAAGGCGGCTCAGAAAGATCCGGTTTAATTTCATAACCAGATCGAAACTTGATCAAAGACCGGTCTGGTACATGAAATTGCAAATTATTGATCTTGGGAAAACGGCCTATTCCTCCACGAATTTTATGCCTTCTGAAAATCCATACACGAACTATTAAACATCAAGTAAAGGGTTTACCACCAAACCCACTGAACTAGAAACATTTATTGACTTTAACAAACTAAAAATATTTATATTGATATCAACTAAGATCAATATCATCCTTGGTTGATAATCTGTGACACCTAATCCTCCCTTACTTCACTCCGACTTACAGAGTCGTCCTCTACGACTAAGTTTTCGCCGGCTAAGGCTAGAATTATTATTTGGTATCCGAGATCTGATTCGGGATCCACTCTGATTTTCTCCGATCCGCTATAAAAAAATTCGGATATCCAAGAGAGCCAGATCCGAATAATAAAAATCAATATCCGTCTACACCAGATCTGTATCCGGATAGTTAAATTATTAGGTCCGGATATCCGTATTTGAATCTCTAACTTCTAAATATATTTAAAAATTATATTTTATTGATAATTATGTAATATACTGAGATTTTTATATATATAAATAATTCAAATTAAATTAAAATATTTTTTTTCTAATAATTTTTTTACAAAATATTAAATTAAATTAAATTTTATTATTATTTTAATTTTTTTAGATTTTTAATATATTTTTTATCCGGATCCGGATATCCGAAATATCCGCGAATATCTTAATATTTAGACGATATTCAAAAGTTCGGATATCCAAACATCCCAGATACGAATCTGGATAATTAAAACTCGGATCCGCCGCATCCGGATAAAGATCTGGATATCTCAAAACTATCCGAATATCTGCTTTGATCCATGATTAGCACCGGCAACGTCAATCCTGGTGCAAACTAAGTCGTAGATGACGACTCTATAAGTCGGAGTGAAGTAAGGGAGGATTAGGTGACACAAATTATCAACCAAGGATGATGTTAATCTTAGTTGGATATCAATATAAATATTTTTACTTTATTAAAGTTTATAAATGTCTTTAGTTCAGTTGGTTTGGTGGTAAACCCCTTACTTGGAAGGTCATGTGTTCAAGTCTTATTGAATGCAGTTTTTAAAAGAAATATCAAAACGACGTCGTTTTGATCCCTGAAATAAATAAAAAAATCGACAACCGGCATGCCACGTGTCAGCCATGTCATCATTAATTATTGACGGAAAATTAACACCGTTTACAGTTTTGGTGAAATTGGCCGCATTTCAATATTTCATGTAGTTATAAGCATGGTTCAATAGTTCGTGTATGGATTTTCAGAAGGCATAAAGTTCGTGGAGGAATATGCCGTTTTCCCTATTGATCTTAACGGTAACAGGATTGAAATTTGATCAAAAGCGGTCTAGTACCTAAATTGAAAGTTATTGATCTTACTGATATGGAATCATTATATCATTATAGGTATAGTTTTAATCTGATGTATTGCCCTAATAACGATTCTTGGAAAAAATTATATCATTACTAGTTAACTTTTCAGCGCCTTGCGCGGACTGATATAATTTACATTTGATTGTTTGAAAATCTAATAGTAGTTTAGATTCATTTGTTTTTTATTCTTGAGTATACTTTTTTGTTAGTTTTTTTTGCAATTTTAATGTTGGAAGACATGATCTAAAAACAGTATAGTATAGAAGAGAGTAAATAAAAATATAGTAGTATCCAAATAATTTAGTTTAAATAGTTTTGAAATCTTTTGATTACTGTTCTATATATTGTAGACGTAATTTTTTGAAGTACCGTATGAACTTATTCGATTTTGATCACTATATGTTTTAAACATCACAAATACAGTCATTCCATTAATTAGATATATATATATTTTTTCTTTTCTTTTTTTTTTACTTTTTTGTTATATATTTTTTTTAATTTCATTTTTTTTTTGAAACGACATTCTATTACTTTCTAAATAGTTTCTATTTTTTGTTTCTTTTAACATTTTTGTTAGATTTTTTCTAAATTTTAAAAAACATCTAAAGTATATTAAAGAGGAAGCACAAAATTACACTTGGCAGCACCACAATTAAAGTTAGCATTTGCTGAATTTATTAATTCATTTGTTTCGAATACAAAAAATGTTAGAGGTAATACATTCTTTACAATATTGCCTTCCTTATTTGTCTCCAACGATTATATAAAGCCATCACAATAATTCATTGGTTGTTAATTAGTAAAAACAATTAATCTATTACTATATACCCTTAAACGATAATGTAAAACTTGCTTTACAATTATTCTTTATAGTTATTAAATTGTATATTTAACGGATTTCTGCTTACAAAGTTATATTACTTTTCTAATACTATATTACTATGTGAATATACAAATTTATGAAAGTATAAATGTTTTATTCACATTTATATTACTAGATGAGTCGAATAGATTATAGGATAAAATTCATGAAATGTAAAAGCTACACACGAGTATAATATTAAAAAGACGAATATTTAAATAATTTCTGAAATAGTTTCAAAAGTTAAGAAGTTCCCTCCATAATAAATTCTAAGATTCTCTAACCATATATTTTCCGTTCCTAATTACCCACTACCTCCTATATCAGCGCTAACCATAGAGATATTCTTCGTTCCTAAACCCTAAAGTAATTATCACTTTCCCGTCTATATCTCTCATTTATCTAAAAACAAATCAATTTATTTATTCTCTATCCATAACAAATTCGCATATTCTTAAAATATATTCTGAAATCTATAAATTAATATCACAAACTACAAAGATAGTAACAAAATTTTGAATTTATACTGTCGCACTGTTTGAATTTATGAATTTTAAATTATACCTTCCACCATCTATATTTCCGCTTACCATATATTTTTAAAACATTATTGTTACTAATATTTTCTTTCTATTCCCTCAAACTAAAAAATACTGTTCCGAAGCCCTAAAAGTCTCTCTATAAATACATGATTGTTTCTGTAGTCATTTCATATACCAAAAACATCTACTCCCTACAGCCTTGAAAGTTCTTTCCAATGGCTTCTATAACAAACCTATACTCTCTTAAGCCTTTCAAAACCCAGTGGAGAGTCCACGTACGGATCTCGAAGGTGTGGAAACAGTATCTGAATGGTGTCGAGACATTGGAAATGGTGGTTGTAGATGATATGGTACGTAAATTCTCATTCAAATCTGTATTGTATTCTTTTTGTATTAGATTCGAACTACTATGTATTACTAATTGAACATTCAGTGATTAATTATGTTTTTAATCTTATGTATCTTGCAGAATCAAACTATGCATGTTTCTCTAAAGAAAGAGTACATCAAAAAACACGAAAACGTGTTGGAGGAAGGGTTAAGTAAGATCATTACTAACTTTCAGGTTGCACACAATGGTGGAAAGTTTCATACGACTCCTCATGTCTACAAGATCCAATTCGCAAGCACAACATCTGTACGACCAGCCGAGGATATTGATCCTAATATCCTTGGATTGAAATTCGTCAAATTCTCGGACATTCATGAGGGCAAACTCAATCCGGATTTCTTAATAGATTTTTGATGTAATAACTATATATTGATGGTCGTACTAATAACGATTTTTCTAATATGTTTAATTACAGATGTTGTTGGTCAGATTGTTAGTATTGGGAAGGTCGAAATCCTCAATGTTAACAAGAAGCAGACAAAAAGACTTACCATAGAAATCAGAGACACTGAGTAAGAATCTATGTTTTTATACTTTAGATTTTATTAGTACAACTAAATCCTTAAAACTTAACATGTGTAGAAATGTTCGCCTAAACTGTGTGCTATGGGGACCTTATGCTTCAAATCTGGAGAGTTTGACAACTAATACAACCGAAGCTGTTTTTGTTATTGTCTTGCGGTTTTCAAAGCTAAGGCTTTACCAAGGTAACATCATCAAATCATATGATATTTAAATATTTCCTCATCTACTAACTGTTTTTATAAGTCATCCAGGTGTTTGGAGTGTTGGGAATTGTTACAATTGTTCAACTGTTTTAACTAATCCAGATATCCCTGAGGTTTTAGCGTTCAAAGAAAAGTATTGCACTAGACCCTAAATTTTAAATCATCTTATATAACATTGCATACATAATATATTCGTTTCCTTATTAATCTGGATGTAGGCTACCTGCTGATGGTGTTACTCTATCCTACACACATCCAAATCAGTTGACAATCGTCAGTTCTATCTCTGTTCGTGATGATTTCTTCTTACATAGTCCTCGAAGGACTATAAGTGAGATAATAGCTGCATCTGAGGTTAAATATTTTCGATTGTTTGTAATTGTTTTATACCATTTAAAATGATTCTATAATGAAATCTGATATTTTTACCTTCTAGGTTGGAAAATGTGTTACCATGGCTACAATCATGTCAATTGACACCGAGTTTGGTTGGTATTACATGTCCTGTAAAACCTGTTCAAAAAAAGTTTTTCCTCATGATATGGATGCAATGAGGGAGAAATATCCCGGTAGACCTTTCAAGAAACAGTTATGGAAGTGTGGTAAATGTAATACTGATGTTGAAGAAGTCATTCCAGCGTAAGTACATAATGTTACATCTTATTAGTAACATTTATTAATATTATTTGTATTTATATTAGATTTTACAATATGCAGGTTCATGCTTATATTTCGTGTAATGGATAACACTGGAGAAACAAAATTTCTTTTATTTGATAAGCTTGCTATGGAAGTTGTCAATCAGACTGCCTCTCAACTTACTCAATCGGTAGATGAGGTATATTTTTCTCATCAACTGTCTATATATCAATCCGTTTTTGTCATTATCAGTTAACTTAATTGTTATTCTATAATTTTTTTTTTATAGATTCAGGATCCGAATGTTTTGCCTATGTCCCTGAGCAACATATGTGGGAAGACTTATCTTTTTAAGGTTGCTATTGAAAGTTCAAACATTGTCTTCAATAGTGACACTTACAAGGTTATGAAGATCGTTACACAAAGTGACCTGGTGAAGGAGTTTTCAGAAATTTCTGTGTCTCAGATCATGAACATAAGATCATACAAATATGTGTTCAACTTATAACGCATATCTCTTATTACTAAAATATTTTGTGTCTGCTCACAGAACACTATTGAGGCTAAACATGAAGAACACGTTCTGACATCTCTCACTACAGAGGTTGGTATTCTTCTCGATATCGGATCCATAATCATACTTTTTATAATATACTTTTTATAAGATATTCTTCTATATATTGAAGATCATACTTTTTATAATATACTAGATATTTTTAATTAATTTTCTTTAACTTATAGGCTCCACTCTTGCTTGAAGATGACTATGAGGATGTGAAGACACCGTCCTCGAAACGCAAAAGCAATGATAGTGAAGAGATCGGAAATGACAGTGGGGAGCTTTCTGTAGCTTCAAAGAAAACCAAAAATGATTTCAACAATGGAGATGATGCGAAACATACTGTGCTGAAGCCGGTCAAGAAAGAAAAACCAGATGGTTGAAGAAGTGTGATATCTTTATTCATCCTGCTTGCATTTGTCTACTATTTCGTTTCCTTTATTTTCTTAATTGAATTTTTCATATTTTATGCTGTTCGTTTTATAAGTTTCAATTTAATAATTTGATGTTTTGCAATATTATTAATAAAGCAGGTTATCTAAATTTTGGCTGTTATTTCTGATGTCTACACACCATTAAAATGTTTACGGTCATTTAAACCTTAGATATTATTGACACACGATAACACATTAGTGCAATTTTTATGACTTTAGATGATTGTTAATAATAAATTTTTTATTGTTATTAATACTGTTTTTAGTACCAATTGGAATGTATGATTCAAAAATATTAGATTTGCCCGCTTATTGGTATATGTTGAAATAATTTAAGTTGTTATTAAAGATATGAAGTTATTCCAAATATTTTGAATGTAAGTTATGGTAACAGAATTTCAAATTAAGAAAAATATTAAGAAACTCATACTAATGATTTTGAATATAATTACTTAAGCGAATATATGTAAGTGTTTTATCTCTAATTAGTATCAAGTGGAATGTATGATTCGACAATTTTAAAAGTTCCCGCTTATTGGTAAATTTTTAAATAATTGAAGTTGTTATTAAATATATGAAGTTTTTCAAATATTTTAAATGTTAGTTATGGTAACAGAATTTCAAATTATTCCTACTATTAAGAAACTCATACTAATGATTTTGAAGATAATTAGTTAAGCGAATATATGTAAGTGTTTTACCTCTAATTAGTACCAAGTTGAATGTATGATTCGAAAATTTTAAAAGTTCCCGCTTATTGGTATAATTTGAAATAATTGAAGTTGTTATTAATTATATGAAGTTTTTCAAATATTTTGAATGTTAGTTATGGTAACTGAATTTCAAATTATTCTTAATATTAAGAAACTCCTACTAATGATTTTAAAAATAATTCGTTAATCGAATATATTTAATGGTTTTACCCCTGATTTGATTGCCTGTATATAGACTAGATTACAAATTATGGAGTATTTGATATGCAATAATTGAGAAACATTCCACTATTGTTATCTTCTTTCCAATATAATCTACTATATTGGAAATAACTATGTTTGAATCAAGTATCTCAAGCAAATAACGAGATATGAGAAAAAGTAGTGTTCTCGGTGAAAATTCAGCTACCGAAGACGGACGATCATCAAAGAAATCAAAGAAAGATAGAAGTTTGGTTGGTACGAACATACTATTTTTAGAATATTTATACTATTCATTTGTTAGCATTTGTATTTGTTGTCAATCGTATGTTACATGCAAAATTACAGATTTCATCAATAATGATAATAACAATGCGCAATCAAGTAAAACAACTCACCAGCCTGCTGTTCGTGTTGCATTTAATACAATACTTAGAGATCTCACGAACTCAAACAACACGGAAAGGAGTTCTCAGTCTACCATGACACAACAACTTAATCGCAATTAGTTGTAGTTCCTTATGTAATCATAAGTATTGTATTTGTATTGAACTTTATATTTTCTTGCTAACATTGTTTAACAATTCCAGATTACGCTCGCCCTTCGAATAAAGAGAACATAACACAAGGCTTAATTGTCAATGACTCTTCTACAATTTCAAATAGATCAGGTTTCTTGGAATTGTATTTTGAACCTGTTCATTATATCATTCCTCTAACTACTTATACAACTCTAATACTGATGTTGACACTGTTCAAATTACAGTGTTATTTCTAATCTTATATTTATCTTTAATTCTTAGGATCATACAATCCATGGAAGAGTAATCCCAAAATACAATCATTTGTTTATTGATGTACTCAAGGAAGGCTATTGGGTTGAAATTAGTGACTTTGTTGTTATTCCAAACAACTTTAATGATATCAGGATTACTTCGAACTATATCATTCAGTTCATTGTTTCTACTCAAGTAATACCGATCAAAATTGTTGAAGGTTGGTACTTCATGGTATGTATATATGGTATTTCTCTAACATATTGACTTCTTTTTCTTTTTATTACAATATATAGTAAGCAGAACGAGTATTAATGGTGTAAGATGCAGTTTTATTTGAAATGTTTTCATACCAAGGTATATTTTATTCCTATTAATTTATGTTCGTCTTTAATTATATAACATTTGTCTATATGTGATGTACAATTAAATATTATCAACATCTACAAATGTTTTACCATGTTTATACAGATTACAATCTTGGTCTCCTATTGTCAAATCTCCATCGGATGAGTCCTCTATGAAGCGACTTCTATCAATACTTTTATTATTCTGAATCTACTTATTTTGATGGCTATATTTCATTAGTAATTCAATTTCTACCTAAATCTTTCAATGTTTACGTCTTCATCGATTATATGCCAATACTATTATGTATTTCAATCATTCTACTTATTTAATAAAATATCATGGCTTCTGGAATAATCTATTATTATAATGTTTTAGGTCAAATTAACCGCTTCTTAAAATTTAGCCAACTGTCTTATAAACCTTCACCTTTTCCATATTATGTATACATGCGAATATACATTTCATTTATTGTAGATTTATACCATACATTATGAAGATTTTAAAACTGAAATCTATTATATAGCTGTACAGGGTAGATTATAACGATTGTAATCGAATATTCTCTTTTCTTTTCCTGTTGATTTGAAAACACAATGCAAGAAAGCTGTTTGTATTTTTGGTAATCAATAGGGTTTGACTGGCTGTGTAATTGTTAGTTTCGATAGTCTAGAATATTGTAGAACTTTGATAAATGTTACGTATATATATATATTTTATATATTCGACTATATCGTTTACCATCTTCTCTCATATAAATGAAAAAACATAAAACTTAACTATCAATTTCTAGATTTACAAAATCTCACACAAACCTACTTTCATTTAAACCATCAGTTACTATTTCTTTCACATATATCTCTCTCCATTTTCATCTTCTTAACGCTTCTAATTGTTTAAACTCGGGATTTTTCATTCAATGGAGGAATATCATCTGATTTCAGATCTGCATCCCGATAAAACGAACTGGACTATAAGAGTTAAAGTCTTGAAGAAATGGCATGTCAAGCATCCTAGCCAACGTCATTCCTTGCAGTTTATGTTGATGGATGAAGAGGTATTTGTTCATAATTATGTATTATTGTATCAAAATTTCAATTACAATTCAAACATTATTTAATAGTTTCTAAATATCCTAAATTATCCAGGCTGAAACTATTCAAGCTTTTCTCTATATTCCCGATTTAATCAAGAGTTTCGACATGTTAATTGAAGAAGGTCAATGGATTTGTTTTTCTGAATTTGTGGTATTTGATGAGACGTCGGAGGAACCAAATTCTCCAATTGGAAGTTGTATTAGATTTTTACAAAACACTGAAGTTGATCTCATTGATCTTATCGAAGTTGACACTCCTCATGGTTTTCTAAAATTTTCTGATGTTCTTGGTGGCAAAACTGAGCCTGGACTTCCCATCGGTATAATTTGTTCCTTTTCTAAATATCTGAATAATTAAATTGTTCAAATACAAAATAATATACTAATGTCGCATATAAGTTTGTAATTTTTTCTGTAGATATTATGGGTTTTGTAGTCAATATTGAGCCACTGGTCACAGTTACTGATGATTCTTACCCTGAAAGACAAGATAAGAAAACCGCCAGCATCTCTTTCACTATCAAGGATGATAAGTAAGACTCCATTTTAAGTTTTATGCTTTTTCCTTATTCTAATTATCATTGTTTTCACTAACTTAAAATTTGTAATTACTATATAGGGGGTTATTATTATCGTGTGTTGCATCAGGATCACTTGCACTTGATTTCAATGACAAAATTTTCACTGAAAAACAATTACCATTTGATTGTCTGTTGACCGACTGGTCTGTGAAACATGGAGAAGGTTAGTTTATGTTATTTCTAAGTAGTGATTATTATTAAACATTTGTTTGTTTATTTATAGATATATGTTATAACATATATATTATCGTTATAGGTGGGTACTATCTTAGGTCTAGAGGAGGGATTTCAAGGATCGAATTTTATCCTAAACTTCCACAAGCCAAAACTTTCGTTAGAAGGTAAGCCATTATTCAGAGTTTTACAATAGTATCATTTTTTATTAGAATGCAGTAAATTAATATAGTTTTATTATTAACAGGTTTTGGAACAACCAACAAAAACCTACCGATGTTATTGATTTAGGTGCGAACGATGATGAAGCAAGTACATCATCCGTGAAGAATAGAAACTGATCCAATAATCTATCTTTATTTGTCTCGATTATTTTTCTATTTATAAGTTATGTGTGATTGATATATGTTTGGAAAACACTCAAGACTATGAGATGTTTTTTTATTATGAACTCTTTCTATCATTGAACTTAAAATATAAGATGATTACAACTTCTTTACTATTATGCTATTCAAATATTCTTTGATATTACTGCATTATAAAGCTATAACGTATCAGATATTTTTATTGGCATTGTTAATCGGTATTCACAATATATAGTTTATGTTTTATAATTTTAATGTTTTGATTTACCATTGAACTTTCATTATTTTGTTATATTTATAAGTTTAATATTAATGGAATTTACGTTATTAAATATTGTTTGTTGGCTGGTATATTACAGAATTTATTACTCTATTCTCTGCATGCAAAGTAAAAATAGTCAATTTGATTTGATCGATATCTTATGCAGCTTTTAAGTAAAATTTGATTTTTTTATTTTACAAAAACTAGAAAGTCTCCATTATTGATATCGATCTTTAATATGTAAAAGATTATTGTACCACATTTTGTATAGATATATTTAATTTATATTAACATATGAAAATATAAAAGGAAATTATTTATCTATTCTCTGCATGCAAAATAAAAATACTCATACAGATTTGATCGATATCTTATACAGCTTTTTTTGTAAGATTTAGTTTCTTTTTTTAAAAAAAAAATTATAAAGTCTCCATTTTTCAAAAATTATACTAATACACTAGATTCTTCCAAAGTATGCATCGTTTGATTTATAGTCCAAATTCTTATTATAGTCTCTGATCAGAAAGCAAATATATTCAATTGATTTGATAGTATTCCACTTGCAGCTTTTCATCAGTAACTTCCTTTATTTCCTTTCAAATATCAAAAAATTGTTCTTCTCAAATCTGACACCGATTCAATTAGATTCGTTGAACATATCCCTATAGCAAACCAAAAGAAGCAAACCGTTTAACTCTTTTTAATAAATACATTTATTCCAACCATCACGATTTAACCTACTCAATATTCTCTATATATTACCATCTTCTGTCGTCTTTTACTTCATCCTTAACCATAAATTGAAACATTCCCTACCAAAAGATCTGTAATACAACTAAGATGGCTGACTACCAGATGGTGAAAGACTTAACTCCATGGGAAGAGTTCAAACAAACTATCCAAGTTAAGGTTTTCAAACGATGGGAATCAACTGATTCACAAGGCCGCCCTGGAATGGATTTCATCTTGGTCGATGAAGATGTAAGCATCGAACTTTTTTTTTTTTTGTATTTTGTCTGTCTGGACATTTCTCATATATCTGTTTGAATATTAATAATACTCTTTCAGGGCTTCCGAGTGGCTGCTTTCGTTTGCAACGCTGGGTTGTCTTACTTTGGAGAACTTTTACAAGAAGGTCGATGGGTTAAACTTTCTCAGTTTCGATTAGTTAACTCTAATTGGAATGCAAGAACCACCAGACATGCGTACTAGATCATACTCACTCAGAGGACAAAGGTTTCAACTATCAGACCATTGACTGAGGATCCTTTCCTTAAGTTTGTTGATTTCGCATCGGTTTACAATAAGCCGTATACTCACTATTATCCTATTGGTAAGTATACTTTCTATTTTAAATTACTAATAAATTCATTAATTTCTTATTGTTGTTCATGGAATCTTTATACGTAATTTTAGTAAAGTTATGTAGACATGCAGTAATTTTTTTTGGTTTTACATACAGATTTGCTTGGTGTTTTGGATAAGGAGATTGGAGATGTTGTTGATGTTGTTCAGTCTGATGGAAAAGCTGTTCCAACCCTTAATTTTTGTATCCGAGATCTTGAGTAAGGATTTTAGTAAGTTAACAAATCTAAATGATTATTATATGTATTTAACTATTTTTTGTTGTTTACTTGAAGGGACTACAAACTTAACTGTGTCGCTAAAGGTGATTTGGCCTATGAAATCAAGGAAAGGTGTAACTGTGACATAATGAAAGGACCATATGCGATATGTGTATTGACTGACTGGTCATACATGCTTACGAAGGAGGAAATTTTTCCCGTTTCATAGCTTATCCACCACTTGATGAAGTTTTCATACTCAGGAGCAAGTAATAAAATGTTATACTAATTTTAGTCTTTCTTTCATGTAATATTATACATATACATATTTATTTATTTTTGTAATTTCTAATTTGGTTCAGGATTTGGGATAAGCTAAGGGCAAGGGATGCTTAGTGTGGGATCAGTCTGAAATCAGTTCGTCTTTATGTTTTTTCTTTTTATTTCGTTAATCAAAAGGAGTGATGTCCTCCTACTTTCAGCAATGTTAAGACTTAAGTTTTATGTTGGCTTTATTCAAACTTATACTATGTTATGTTACTTTCGTTATTATCAGTACTCTAACTATAGTTGATCTCTATTGCATCTCAATTGATAATTATCTGGATGTCTATTAAATTAAATGGTAGTATATACTTTATTAATTTAGTTTTTGTCTTATCCATATGTATTAGCTAATTTGATGTCCTATTTAATGTTTACTACTTTAGATTTATGGTTAAGATATGAAATGATTTCAGTTTAGATTATTTGTGTCTTATTTTTAATTTTAAGTAATGTTTCCTATATCATTTAATGGAAAATATGAATATTGATTAACCGTTATTAAAATTTGTTTTTGAATTATCTGTTTATTTACACTGTATAGTAATGATATGATTTTGCTAAAACACTAACCATAAAAATTGCATGGTTTACATATTAATATATAGAAATATAACAAATTATATATTTTGTGTATATAAATTTATCAGCAATTTAGACATACTTTATATTACGAAGTATTCCGTATCTTCATTTAAGAATATTACAATCTAAACTACCTTTTCTTATCAAATACGGCTTCATTTACGAATCTTATTATATATACTATTGTTTTAACGTAATTATCAATACTGCCTTATCAGAACACTAATAAAAAGCAATTTTAAAGATTCGGTTATTATATTGTAGATTATAACTACTATAGATTTTACGTAATTATTTATACTGCCTTATTAAAATACTATAATCAGTTTTAAAGATTCGGTTAATATATTGTAGATATGTTCTATATATCGTGATTTATTCATTTCCTTTTTGTTAGGAAACGTCTTTATTCGAGCCCTCGCAAATTGATTTTGTCAAATCGATTCCCTATATAATATATTGCCTTCTCAGTTAAACTTTTTACATCACACATTCAAAGAAACCTAAACCTAAAGGTTTCGTACTACTTAAAATGGCTGACTATCAAATGGTTAAGGATGTCACTGCCTGTGAAGAGTACAAACAGACCATCAAAGTGAAGATTTACAAACGTTGGAAATCCTTTGATGGAAATGGTCTCCCAGGAATGAGTTTCATTTTGGTAGATGAAGATGTAAGTTTTTATAAAAGCACTATATATTAAATTTTTGTATTTTAATATTCATATTTTCTTACACAAACTTTTATGAAAAATTTAGGGATCTAAAATTGCTGCATCGGTTGACAACCTTCAACTTTCATACATTGAACGTGTTTTCTTAGAAGGTGCTTGGGTTGAAGTTTCTAAGTTTGGTGTGATTAATTCCAACTGGGAAGAAAGAATGACTCGACATGCTTTTCAAATAATCCTAAACAATCAGACAAAGGCCTCGACCATTCGACCTTTGACAGAAGATCCATTCATTAAGTTGACAGATTTCAGTCATGTTTACAATAAGCCATACACACACTACTACCCAATCGGTACATATTTGATTATATAACATACAAAAAATACACATGCTTCATTTATTTATACTTTTTTGTTTATTAACTACTTTCATGTATAAAAATTTATAAATCTGATATATTTTCCAACAGATTTATTAGGTGTTCTTGATAAACCAATTGGAAACATTGTCACTGCTGTTCATCCAGATGGAACAATGGTCCCAACCATTTATTTCCGTATAAGAGATCTTGAGTAAGTCTGTCATAGACAGTATAAAGTTTATTGTTTTTTCTTCATTTATACAACTTATATTCATTCCTTTCTTAAGGGATTACACGCTTGATTGCGTTGCCCGTGGTGTTTTGGCATATGACATCAAAGAAAAGTGTGATTGCAAACTTATGAAAGGACAATACGCCATATGTGTTTTGACGGATTGGGTTGTTCACAGAAATATGAGTACGTTTAAATAATAGTTCATATTAGATTGTTTTATTACTTTTTAATAATATTCCTAACATATAATATTTGCTTAGATGAAATGACTATCTATGATTACGATGGAGGAAGTCTATCCCGTTTCATTGTTGCACCACCGATCGATGAAGTCCTCCGTTTCAGACTCGAGTAATATAGTAAATAATTTGGATATCTATATTTTCATATTATTTTTGCTCATATCGTAACTTACTATTTTTTCTTTTGTTTATACAGCCTTTGGAACAAGAGAAGGACTGCGGAAAACACATCTGGAAATTCTGATGTGAGGGATTAGTAGAGTTTTGCTATTATTATTTATCTACGATTCTACATTTTAATTTGCATTAGTAATAATAAGAGGAATGAACTCATGTTTTTCATATTCGGATTATGAAGTTTAATGTATTTCTATTTCATACATTATTCTTAATTCATAATTAAATTAATTCTATTATTATTTCCATGATTTTAATTTTTTTAATATCGATAATGAATTCATATGCGTATGCCATTTTACATCACATTCGTTATTTTTTTGTCTACACGCACCAATATCTAATATGAATTACCGAATAATATTTTACTATTTAATAACTAACAAATAATCAACAAAATAATATAACACAGTAACAAAAAAATGTTCAAGACAACTACAATACAACATTCCTCTATACACAACTATTAATCTAACTCTAAATTATATAGAATGTAGTATAAATCATTAGTTTATAAATATAGTATGTCCACATACGTTAAAACTAGATATCTAAACTGATTACAACATAATACCGTGCACAGCACGGGTCAAAATCTAGTAAGAAATAGTAAACACTAAGAGATATAGATTTCATTTTTTTAATAAAAAAATTTTTCTTAAATTGTTTTTAAATTTCAGTTATATATAATTTTAAAAATGGTTTGATTAAACCATAATAATTTAGACCGGTTTGTTTTAAGGGTTTTTATATATCATCAAATAAGAACCAATATAAAAATGACATGTAATTGCAAAATAGGACTAAACGGTCTTTTTACAACCAAATTTTATTTTAGAGCTGACACGTAAGCGAAAGGGTATGAAAATCGCTGTGAGCATGACACATAAACAAATCACTACACAAATAAGTATAAAAAATCGTAAACATTATAATAATTAGTGATATTCTATCATTTTTTTTGAAATGACATTCTATAACTTTTTAAATAGACTCTATTTTTTTGTTTTTTTAACATTTTTGTTAGATTTTTTTATAAATTAGGGAAACATAAGAAATGATAAACACTAAGAGATATAGATTCCTTTTTTTTCTTTTTTTTTAAACATATTTGTTTAATTTTTTCTAAATTTCGGTTTTATACAATTTTAAAAACGGTTTGGTTGGCTACAAATTTAAACATTAAATCATAAAAATGTAGACAGGTTTGTTTTGATTTTTTTTTACACATCATCAGTTAAGAACCAATAAAAGTTGTGGAAGAAGTAGTGAGAAGTGGCTTATTTTTATACTAAACCATAAGAAATCGATGTCTAGATTTTAGTTAATATTTTAGTTAACATTTTAGTAAGATTTTTTGTTTATTTCGAAGACATTAGAAATGGTAAATTTCTAATTTTTGTTTTTAAAAACGTTTTTGGTTTTTTTTCCTAAATTTTGGTTTAATCTAATTTTAAAAACGGTTTGATTGAGTATGAAATTAAGCATTTAACCATAATAATTTAGTCCGGTTTGTTTTAAGTTTTTTTTGACACGTCATCAAATGAGAACCAATAAAAATGACACGTAACTGCAAAATAGGACTAAACGGTCTTTTTGCAGCTGAAACTCATTCTAGAGCTAACACGTAAGCGAAAGCTTGTGAAAATCACTGTGAGCGCGACACGTAAGCAAATCACTACATAAATAAGTATATAGATAGGTGAAGTTTTAATCTAATGTGTTGCGCTCACAGTGATTCTTGGAAAAAATGATGACGTGTCTTATTATTATTCGTCTAACTTGATGACGTGTCGTTTTCACTTAAATCAAACCGAAAATTTTCATTTAAATCAAACCGTTATAGGTGAAATATTAATCTGATGTGTTGCGCTCACAGTGATTCTTGGTAAAAATGATGAAGTGTCATATTATTATTCGTCTAACTTACTTACTTGTCGTTTTTACTTAAATCAAACCAAAAATTTTCACTTAAATCAAACCATTTTCACTTAAATCAAACTGAGAATTTTTACTTAAATCAAACCAAAAATCCTATTTTGAATATATATACCAAGATTTTTTAAAAATGATTTCAAATGGTTTACCTGACCAAATGAATTCTGATTTTGTTTCGATAATTACAACTAACCAACTGGTTTTTAATATAAGTTTTAATTCAGTTTAATTTGAGTAAAACAGTTGAATTCGAGATTAGACCTTTCTTTGATAAAAATCTCATGTCGTTTTCACTTAAATCAAACCGAGAATCCGATTTCAAATATACCAAAAAATTTTAAAATGGTTTACATCACCAAACGAAATCTGAATTTGTTTCATTAATTATAACTCGTTTTTAATACAAACTAGTGAACTTGTCCACGCCTTGCGTGGGTTGATATAATTTTCCATTTTATTGTTTGAAAACTTAATAGTAGTTTGAAATCATTTTTTCTATTATTGAGTATATTCGTTTATTAGATTTCTTTACATTTTAATATTTGACGACACGATTGTGAAAATAGTATAGAAAAATGTAGATAACAACATATTACTATCCAAATAATTTAGTTTAAATAGTTTAAAATCTTGTGATCACTGTTTTATGTATTTAAGACGTAGTTTGAAGTACCGTATGACTCATTTGAAGAAAAAGGAAGAGTTAAACAATTTAGAAAGGGTGTGAGAGAATTAGAGAGAAATTATGTACATATTTATACTAAAACATTTGAAGTCGAATGCATTAACCTAGACATCACAAATACCAGCTTCATGATGACTTTCGCATCATTGGTGGGGCTAGCAACTGCCTCAATTCACTTAGAGACGTAGTCTACTGCTACCAAGATGTATTGGTTTCCAAAAGTAGTAGGAAATGGTCCTATAAAATCCATTCCTCAGACATCAAAAATTTCGACTTCGAGAATAAAATTTTGAGGTATCTCATTCCTTTTGCTTATGTTACCCATCATTTGGCATTTATCGCATCGCGATATATAAGCTTGAGTATCTTTGAACAAAGTAGGCCACCAGAAACCTTCTTGTAAGATCTTTGAAACTGTTTTGAAGGTTGTAAAATGTCCTGCGTAAGACGAGCCATGGCATCCGAATAAGATTCCTTCCATCTCTTCTTTAGCCGCGCATCTTCGGAATAGACCATCAGCACATCTTTTGTAGAGATAAGGTTCATCCCAAAAATAATGTCTTACATCCTTCAGAAACTTTTTCTTCCTATAACCAAAAAATTGTGGTGGTTCTACATCAGCTGCTAGGTAATTTGCTATGTGCATAAACATGGTGTGTTGAAAGCATCTGATCTTCGCATGAGTTTCCTTGGTGGTGCGGTATTGGTATTGGTGGGGGTTGTATCTATTGCATAGATATTTTCTTCTGGCAAACTATCATTTAAAGGCAATCTATCTTCAACTCGAATTCGTAAAAGATGGTCTGTAACTCCATTATCTGCTCCTTTCTGATCTCAAATTTCAATGTCGAATTCTTGCAGTCGGAGGATCCATCTAATCAACCTCAGTTTAGCGTCATTCTTAGACATCAAATACTTAATTTCCGCATGATCAGTATGAACTATAACCTTAGATCTTACGAGATAAGAACGGAATTTCTCAAATGAAAATACAAAAGCTAGAAGTTTTTTCTCGGTTGTTGCATTATTGCATTGCGCTTCATCTAGAGTTCTGCTTGTGTAGTAGATTATGTGCACTTTCTTATCTTTTCGTTGGCCAAGAACTGCTCCGACTGCATAGTCACTTGCAACACACATGATTCTGAATGGGAGTTCCCAATCAGGTGCTTGCACGACAGGAGCGGAGACAATGGCTTCTTTGATTTATGAAACGCGCCTAAGCACTCATCATCGAACTCGAAGTTTGTTTCCTTGCAAAGCAAACGCGTAAGAGGTCTAGCTATTTGAGAAAAATCTTTAATGAAGCGCCTATAGAACCCTGCGTGACCTAAGAAACTACGAATTCCTTTCACGTTTGTGGGTGGTTGTAGGCTGGTCATGACTTTGATTTTTGTTCTGTCAACTTCAATTCATTTTCCCAAAATCCTGGGCCCAAGCACGATTCCGTCTCGTACCATGAAGTGACATTTTTCCCAATTTAATACTAAGTGTTTATCTTCACATCTTTGCAAAACTTTACCAAGATTGGCCAGGCATTTTTCAAAAGAAGATCCATAGACCGAGAAATCGTCCATTAAAACTTCCATAAAGTCTTTGATAAAGTCTGTGATGATCGACATCATACACCGCTGGAAGGTAGCAGGTGCATTACACAATTTAAAAGGCATTCGTCGATAAGCGAATGTGCCATATGGACAAGTAAATGTCGTCTTTTCTTGATCCTCCAGTCGAATAGGGATTTGGAAAAATCCGGAGTATTCATCAAGGAAGAAATAGTAGGGGTGATTAGCTAACCTTTCTAGCATTTGATCTATGAAGGGAAGTGGAAAATGATCTTTCCTAGTTGCTGCGTTCAGTTTTCGTTAATCGATGCACATACGATGTCTATTGACTGTTCTTGTAGTGATCATTTCATATTTATCGTTTTTAATGACAGTTACTCCTCTTTTCTTCGGGACAACATGAACTAGGCTAACCCAAGTGCTATCTGAGATAAGAAATATTATTCCGGCTTCAAAAAGCTTCATAATCTCTTTCTTGACAACATCTATGAGGTTGGGGTTCACTCTCCTTTGAATTTCGATTAAGTTTTTAGCATTATCCTCGAGATTGATCTTGTGCATACAAAGATCTGGAGAGATTCCAGGTATGTCATCAAGTGAATATCCTAAGGCTTTTCTATGCTTTCTCAGTTCAGACAACAGCATTATGGTTTCTTCTTTTGTCAAACCAGAGTTTATAATGACAGGATATGTCGAATTTGGTCCAAGGAAAACGTACTTAAGTCCGACGGGAAGAGGTTCAAGCTCGACTTTAGGGGCTTTAAGCTCGCTCCATGGGTCATTTATTGCTGCGGCAGTGTCTTTAGGAGGTGTAGGAATGTTTGTTTGGTTCTTAAGATCTAGATAGTTTAGAGGCTTCCTATAAGTTTCAGACTTATCAAGCATTCGCGCGCAT